GCAGCAGATGCCATTGGCTGAGACAGAGGAAACCACGGCTTAGCAACAGAAGGATAAACAGAAGCGGCATCAGGAACCACGGTGCCCACAGCTGGAGAGAACATGGGCCCCGCTGGGTCTGCTTCCGGCTGCAGAGATGGGGCGGAGCCCAGGTGCGGGGCCGGCCCAGGGTCCGAGCCAGGACAGGAGCAGGCTCAGGGTCCAGGTGTACAACTTCCTCACCAGTCTCTTCCACTCCTATGTTCCCATAGCCTGTTTAGGATTATAATCACGATCAAGGAAAACTGCTCAGATGGCTGCCTCACTAGGACCTGACCACAAATCTCCCCACACATGGAGAAAGAGAACCACCAGAAGTGAGAAAGGAGGAAAAGAAACCACCAAGCGCTCTGTAATGAGCACGCTTCAGAATGACACAGCTCTGCACAGTCACTTCTAAGCAGAACTTAACCACCACTTCCTTTCTCTGTGGCTCTTCTATTTCTATTCTTCTTATTATTATCATTACTTTTTAGATATATTTTTATTGATTTCAGAGAGGAAGGGAGAGAGATACAAACATCAATAATGAGAGAGAATCATTTTTTTTATTTATTTTTATTTTTTTTTATTTTTCGCTAAAAGTATTACAAAGGGTATTACATAAGTGTCCTTTCCCCCCCCCCTTGACAAGCCCCTGCCCTCCCTTACCCCCCAGTGTCTTATGTCCATTAGTTATGGTTATATGGATGCATACAAGTCCTTCGGTTGATCTCTTACTCCCCTCCCTCCTATGAGAGAGAATCATTGATCAGCATGCCCACACTGGGGAATCAAGACTGCAACCTGGACATGCGCCCTGACTGGGAATCAGACTGTGACCTCCTTGTTCATAAGTCGATGCTCAACTACTGAGCCACATCGGCAGGGCTATTGTTGTTGTTATTATTATTACTGCTTTACTGCATCTACTACAATTCCTGTGATTATTATCAATGTGCGCAGTCAGGGGGCTACCTGGAGAGTGACGAGAAAGGGTACCTTCCCTGACGTCCTAACATGGCTTTTGTTTTGTCCCGTTTCTCCCAGGCCTTCATCACACTGACCTCAAGGTCTCCGGTCAGTTACAACTCATAGAAAATCGCTCCCCTCTATCCCACAAAAATAAATAAGTAAAAGGATGACAAGTCTTTGTTTGGAAGCCAAAGCAGCAGAGCCTCAGGAATCAGGGACCCCTATTCTTGTCCCGGCTCCATCGTTAAGGCGGCGGCCTGACTGTGCCTTCCCTGAGCATCCCAGTGCCCTGGGACAGTGCCACCTCCCGAGGGTCACGCCCAGAGAATCCCGGCCAAGCCTCTTAGCTGGAAACTCCAACCAGTGGGTCTCTTCCCAGAGTCAGATTACAAGGGAAAAAACACACACCATGGAATTTTCCAGAACACAGCCAGCCAGCTCTGGTTGCGAAGGTCTCCGGCAGGGCAGTGAGAGTAAGAAGGGGCCTAGATGTGCACCAGGCAGAGCAATAACCCTGAGGCCAAAACAGGGATGCTCCAGAGAAGTCCACATGACGCCCAAAATACAAGAGTGAAACTAAGAGCCTCGCCGTCTGTGTGCAGGAGACCCAGTCCAAAGCCCCGACCCGCTGTGCAACCCCTACACTAGGGTGCACTACCAAGTGCAGGGCCGGTCTGCACCCGCCACCCAGCACCCGGGACGCAGGGGCCTTCAACTCAGGGCATCTCTAACGCTGAGAACATCTGGGTGCACTTCTTGTCTAACATATTTTCAAAAGAACAATATTTGTTTTGCTGAAGCACAACATCTAGATATTATCTATTCTTTAAAAATTCTAAAGTACTAATACAACCTCAAAGAATGTTCCCACCACCGTGTCCTAGAGCCTGGGAGGCAAGCAAGCCTCCAGGACACCACCCGGGAGCTAGATCTACACAGAGTTCTGGGGGAGACTCAAATCTGTCCCCCACAGCCTGCCAGCTGAAGGGTCCTCACAAGGCTTGGAGACCAGCCCCTCCAGGTAACAGGTGAAGCCTCCGTCAGTCAACAGCCAGGCCTGCAGGCTCCCAGCGAGTCCCCCTGTGGCCCCTAGAATGGGTTCCTCCTGCCCTGGGTTCTGTGTGTCCCCTTTTGCCTGCAGAGAGCACTAAATACAGACAAATGCAATTCCATAGAACAGCAGCCAGATTTCCACATAACAAGCTGGACTCCATGAGTAAGAAGATAAACTTGATCCCAGCACACTGTTTTAGGAATACAGTGGAATACCTGGAACCCAGGTATCCATTGGCTAAATCAGTGATGGCGAACCTTTTGAGCTCGGCGTGTCAGCATTTTGAAAAACCCTAACTTAACTCTGGTGCCGTGTCACATATAGAAATTTTCTGATATTTGCAACCATAGTAAAACAAAGACTTATATTTTTGATATTTATTTTATATATTTAAATGCCATTTAACAAAGAAAAATCAACCAAAAAAATGAGTTTGCGTGTCACCTCTGACACGCGTGTCATAGGTTCGCCATCACTGGGCTAAATCATGCCTTAGTCTTCTACTCTATAAAATCTCCCATTTCTCACCTGGGATCCTCCCCTGCATGGCTGGGGACTGCCCAGGGTCGGGAAGAGGTGGCTCTGTGCTTAGAGACACGGAAACTCAATTTGGTCCCAACTCTGCACTTAGGAACCTGGGAAAAGCCACCTGACCCTGTGGCGTCACCCACAGGATGCAAACAAGATTTTAACACCATTCTTCTAACTTCCCAGCCTCACTGGACGAATGAGATAATGCATGTGACACAGGTTTGTAAATAACTATAATTTACAAGAAGCACTGTTTCTTACTTTAAAACTGCATGGCACCTGTAACTGTGTCCCCATCAGTGACACTGCTCTGTCCCCTACCCCCAAACCCATTAGAGGAGAGAGGGCTAAAGGGTGAATTACATCCACCTTGTGCAAACCAGCTCTGCCTTCACTGAAAATGACACATTATCAGCTCTCCGAGAGCCCTCAGCCCCCCTCCTGCCTCCCGCACCAGATCCGCCAAGAGGTTAAAAAAAAGGGCGTTGGTTGAGCAGCTGCAAACACATCTGGACAGTGTGCCAAGTGTGACTGACGGCAGGCAAGCAACTGGCCACAGCAGAAGCCTCACTTTGCACCTACGAAAGGCTTGGAAAATGGCCAATTTGGGAAAACAAGGAATAGCTACCAGTGTCCAAAGAATTCTTTTCTGCAGACACATAAACATACTTCTTGTTTTATTGTTTTAATTCTAAAACACATGCTTATTAGAGAAAGTCTAGAAAATTAAAAATAGCAAGAAAAAAAAACCACAGAATCCCAGCAGGCATACACATCGCTGTGTCTGCAGTGTTTAAACCACTGGAGCGCCATGAACCACCACGGGAGGAAGATGCTGCTGCGTGTTACCATGGTAACCCGGACCAGGAGGGTGTGCACGGCTTCCTCAGCTCCGGAGATCTGTGGCTGAAATCCTAGAGTCACGGACTGATTGCTGGTTGAGAAGAATTGTTGCACAACAAGAATGTGCTGACTGCACAGAGCTGGCAATTTTTAGAAAGCGACATCTTCCCAGCCTCCCAATTACTGATGCAGAATAAATCTAAATTTTTTAATTTTTCGTAAATGTGCTTCTATCTTTCAAAGGCTGCTTCCCTTATGTTCTCCCTTGGGGTGTCTTGACTATTTGCACTTGGCAACACTGCACGAAGGAAACAATGAGCAGTGATAAAAATGAGATGGTGTGAAACGATGAGCACAAAGAGGTTCCGCACAGGCTCTAGGATTAGAGGCACGCAGCGAAATTCAGCTCTATCCTCTATCCGTGTGCACTGTGCAGCCTGGGGACAGTTACAGAGTCCCTGAGCTCGACCTGCCTCATCTGTAGAATGGGGCTAACAACAATGGCATTAATGAGGATGATAAACGCAAAATGCACAGCGCGGTTCCCCAAACGTGGAAAGCATTCAGGCCATGTCAGCCCCACGGATCATTTTTATTATTATTTAATAGTATTTGCCAGAAGAAATAGAAATGTGCAACCTGACCCCAAAACAAAAGAAACGAGCATAAAGAGTGAAGTGATGAGCACTACTCCTTGTATATACCAATTCCAGAAGGAACGATAAATCTGAACCCAACGTTTTTAGTTCTGTTCCTAATGCCAAGTTCTGCAGCTGGAGGTGACCTCAGTTCTGAGGGCAATGATTCTATTTATCTTAAAATAAAAATTGTTAAAAATGAACAAACAACCCAATTGCATGGCTAGAGAGCTTTTAACGAGATCCAACTGCTAAGCAGATTTTTTATCCAGATTCTTAGATAAGGGATCTATTAATAGTAAACTTTCCAAAAACAACAGGAACAGGGACGCGGGGAGCGAGGGCTGGAATGCGGCCCCCGTCCTGTGGAAGCAGGAGGGCAGAGGGAGCCGCGTGGTGTTGCCACAGAAACGTGTGTGGGGCACGTGCAGCGGGCCCCACCTAGACCTGGGCAGCCACTCAACGCGCCTCCTTCTCACACGTGGGATAAAACCAAACAGATTCATGAAGTAGCAAGAATTCTAGTGCTCACATCTCACGGCCACAACGTTTACAAGCAGGACTTTGCAGATCTGAGAAAATACTTCATGCACATGGATAGGAAGATACACTTTTTTCACTGTCAAGCAAAAACATACTCTTTTACTTCCTTAAGGGAAAAAAACCACTGACCCGTTCCATACTTGCAGAATCTATGTTTTTTTATACACAAAAGAGTAGGCAGTAATCACAACTGCCTTATGGGGTATGTACTAACCACAGAGACAGGTTTTACGAGTTGACCCTATGACCCATGCCTCCCTAAGCACTTAAATTGCATAGTATCTATTCTACATTAAGTCATTCAACAAACACGAGTTGAACAGGACAAACCGGTCAGTACACATCAGGGCCCACAGAGACCGAGCCCCCGTCCCCGGGAGCTCACAGGCCCGCAGCGGTGGACAGGCTGGCAACGCGTAGGAAGAAGCCTGTTCCATATCGGTTTGCGCTGGAAAACAGAGAACACGAGGGCCTGGGGGAGGATGCAGGACCCGTCACAGCACTGACCGTGGCCCAGTGAGAGGTTGAGATGTGAGCAAGACCTGAAGGAAGTGAGAACTGGAGAGGAAGGGCACTCCTGGCAGAGGGCAGAGCTGGAGGAAAGCCCTGAGGCTGGCACACTGTGGGGAGAGCGAAGAGGTCAGTGTGGCTGGAGCGGCGGGAAGCGGGGGAGCTGGCAGGCGAGGAGGTGGGAGGGGGGCGCAGCAGGGTTGGCAAACTTCTGTCAAGCACAGAGAGTAAACAGTTTAGGTTTTTCAGGCCAAGAGACACAACCATATCACGCAGGTCTCTGTTGCAACTCCTCAACTCTCCAATGTCACCTGCTGAAAGCAGCCATAGAGGAGTAAGCAAATGGCATGACTGTGACAACAAAGTGCTTTGGTTGGCATTTCCCTGATGAGCGTCTTTTCGTGTCCGTATTAACCATTTATTTGTCTTCTTTGGGAAAATGTTTAGTCAAGCCCTTTGATCATTTTTTAATCGATTGTTTGCAGATTTCTGTCTTAGGGGTGGTGAACAGGCTCTCGAAGCCAATTTCCAGAAGGTTCTGGAGGCACGCAAGCCATGCAGGGGGCTCAAAGTCATGGTAGCTTCCCAAAGCTGAGGGACCACTTTGCACAGATCCTGAGTTGGTGGGGATTTTTTTTTTTTTGTAGCCGTGGAGCAAAGCCTCATGTGACTTTGTGGTCATCTGTCTGGCCAATTAAAGCACACAGTTCACTCAGTGGTACCCCCACCCACTCTACCCAGTACAGCAAAAAGCAGAGACCACTTCCCTGCCATCCAGTTCCTCCTGGGCAACATTGGAACAGGGAGAGAACACACACACCTGCCACCCGGGGTAACTTTCTCCAGTTCACACACCTTCAGCAGCTAAAAATACACACCTGCACAAAATATACACCTGTACAAGACAGACACTTGCACAACTAGACACCTGCAGAGCACAGACACCTGCACAAGACAGAAACCTGCACAACACAGACACCTGCACAACATAGACACCTGCACAACATAGACACCTGCACAACAGACACCTGCACAACTAGACACCTGCAGAGCACAGACACCTGCACAAGACAGACACCTGCACAACACAGACACCTGCACAACACAGACACCTGCACAACACAGACACCTGCAGAGCACAGACACCTGCACATGAGGAAAGACTCAGCTGCAATAAACTGGAATGCCCTCCAGAAGCAGTGAGAAGTTTCCATTTTGGCTTTAAGTAAGTTATCCCCAAGTACAAACAGAGAGAGCATTTCAAACTGATTTGGTCTGGCATCCAAAGACATCTGAGTGAGTGTATTTTTACCTGCTGGAAGAAAACAGTGAGCTCATCTGTGTAAACTACCACACAGGGAGAGGTCAACAAAGGAAGACAGGCTCCCGCTTACTGCACCGGCCAAATATTTAGAGCAACTGAGCCCATCCACAGCCCCAAATATTTAGACCAGTAAGTGAAGAATTCGTTTTTCACGTGCTTCTAAAATAAAAACACTCCTCTGGTGCACACAGGCAGTGAGGGTAATGGGGCCATGGTTCATCTCCCTGCCCACAAATGAGAAAACAAATCTTCCCTCCCTCCATGGGGACCTGAGGCTCCCGAAGAGGGAGCAACTCTCTAGGGACAAGGAGGGTCCTCAGTGAGTCTCTCCCTCCTCCTGGGCCCCCAGGCCGCCTGCCTGAAGCATCACACAATTGCCTGGGCTCTTGCTCCCGGAATGAGGCAGAGGGCTCCCCATGTCCTGTCTGCAGTGGCAGCACCCTCCCAATTCCCCACCCCCTCACCTGCCAGGGCTCTGCCGTCATTTGTCAAGGGCTTCTTCGCCTGTGTAAGGTTCTATCTGCTCAAATGCAAGGTCTCTGACAAATCCAAGTTTCCTATAACTTTACTTTTTTAAAAAAATATATTTTTATTGATTTCAGAGAGGAAGGTGAGGGAGAGAGAGATAGAAACATCAATGATGAGAGAGAATCATTGATCAGCTGCCTCCTGCACGACCCACACTGGGGATTGAGCCTGCAACCCAAGCATGTGCCCTGATCGGGAATCGAACCATGACCTCGTGATTCATAGGTCAACACTCAACCACTGAGCCACACCAGCCGGGCCCTGTAACTCACTAGGAAGCACCCAACCAGTTTCCCAAAGGCCACCAATGGACTCGTTCTCAGCAACTCTCAGGGGATACATGTGTTTTCATTTTGATTAAAATCTAAGAAAAAAATTACTTTGCCTAAAAACCAAAGACTTCGCCATGAATCCAACAGAGGCAGCTGGGGAACTCAGTTGTCTCAGAGCCCGAGGAGGGGGTACACCAAACACACAGAGCCCGGCCACCCGTTCACCTCAGCAGTCACACCCAGGGGGCGACTGGGGACAGCAAAAGCACCTGCCATGTATAAAGTCAACATACACACCATACAACATACACTCATGTCATTGCATTAAACTTACTAATTTTGTGTTTCAGACAATCCAAGAGTGATGAATATAAGACGGTAAAAGCTACTTCTGTGTCTGCACAAAGTAAGCATGAAGCTGTGGAGCGAGGAGCGCCGGGCCATTTCCTCTACCAGCTGTCCGCAATGATTCAGAGCTGAGGCAGGTGAATTTCACGTAAATCACCCCGCCTACAGACATCTCAGCTGCACCAGCAGGGATTTATTAGTGAGCTCTGTGAGCGATGGTTTACACCGGCACCAAGCTGGCCTTTGCTTACCCGTCTCACTCCCTCCACCTACCGGTGGCTGCTGAAAACAAGTCCCCAAAAAAATCCAGGCTTCCGTTTTAAAATAATCGGTCCTGACGAGTCTACATAGCATTGCTTCATTAGTTATAAATAATGCTCTATGTATTTAACAAAATTGACACAATCTGGGCAGGCAAATGAAGGCAATAGCGAACCTGACTTCCAGACTTCAGCACCATTTCCGTTCTGAGATGTATTTCTGTGTACACTGGACATGGGGTGCTGGGGTTAATGTCACCCTTTCTGCCCTCCCCAGGGCAAGCTCCCCCAGAGAAGCTGGATTTTCTAAGAAGTGTCAGCCCTAAGAATTAGTGAAGAGCCCAACAAGGCGTTGGTTGTGAGTCCTAACCAAGCTGGTTGACCCCCAAAAATGCCTGGCTTCCTCCCCCCTCCCCCAGGGACCTGGGCGGCACTTTCACGTCCCTCTCACTTACTCGCGGCTGCCCCTTCCTGGGGAAATCTGAGCCAGGTCCTCAGGCCTGAAAGAGGCTCCTCCAGGTTCCACACCTGTCTCACCTGAGCCATCATCGCCCAATGCCCAGGAGCCCGGACACACAGATGTCCCTCTTCCTCCTCGTCCATGGTCAGCCTGGGTCCTGCCTCCAGCCACCTCCTGTGGATTCAGGTGAGACTAAATTTCTTTCAAAATTATTTTGATGTTCTTATAATCATGTTTATGTCATAAAAAATAGTAATCTGGAAAACTCCGCATCATATTCTCAATTTTTCTTTAAAAGAGCCCAAGTGCTACTAGCAAGTCTCATACAATGCCAGCCCACAGAGGTGCTTCAGGTGTTGGGTGAAGGCAGGACAGAGGAAAATAAGCTGGAGAGGAAATACTCTCCTGTAAAGAGTCAGAACAGCAGAGAGACCAGAGAGTGACCCCTGCGTCTCATGGAGGAGGAGAGGGGCAGAGGAAGAGAGACCACGGCTGACTCCACCTTGCTTTTCCAGGTTGAATAATAAAAATATCTAAACCAGGGGGAAAATCGGAATGCCTATGTGCTGTTAAGAACACCCAGTATTAGAATCATTTTAATCACCAGAAGGGGGCAGCATCTGAAAGACTATGTAAGTACTTGTTATTCTGCCTCTCCATTAAGCTCAAATACTAAAAGCCTAAAAAATACGACGTTTCCATTTAAGTATCTCAATCTGCACCTCCTTTATATCGCTTTAAAATGTATATTTTTATTGCATGTGAGTCTACAATTAAAGCTTAAATATAATTTTATATATTTATGATGTATTATAAATTAACCTAAATATTGATTCATCTTTTTTCTTACTTAGCTGCAGTGCTGTCTTACATTATTTGAATATACATTTTTTTAAATCTCAAAGTCAAAGCCCATGGTGTACATATATAAAGTATATTGCTATATACACAGGAAAACAGTCATTATCTAGTTAGCAGACATCATTTGCTTAAACATAGAAAAAAATCTTCAAAATTCAAAGTTCATCAGAAACATTTAGACTATAAATCAAGCAAGAAAAATGTCACATAAAGCAATTACAAATAAATTCTCCACCTGCCCAATGGATATTTATTAATTGCATTATCATTTACTCAAAAATGAATTGTAAAAGGTTGCTTTTGCAATGAGGCTGTTTCTTTGACACTGTTCAGTCTTCTGTCGGGGCCTCGGTGTTTGGAAGAACGTGTGGGGGAGAGCCTACATCAGTGTACGAGGGGGGCCCATGCTCGCCCAGTGAATGATTTCCATCGGCTGCACAGGGGCCCCCTGGAAAGCCTGGGGGGCAGGCAGCCTGGACCGCTGGAGGGAGCCTCAGCAGTTTCAATGTACCCGCCGGGTGAGAGCAGCTGACATCAATACACAGAGCCACAGACCCAGCACCTGTAGGCCATCGTTTCCCAGCCACCTCACACCTGCCCAACTGAAGAGGGGCCTTATGCAGATGGAGTCGCCAAAGGCCTGTCCTAGAAGCACAGAGGCCTCCAGAAGTCCCCTGCCACACTGACGGGATGACAGCCCCTCCCTGTTCTGGGACAAAATATGCCTCTCTGGGACACCAAGACTCTTGGAGACTATGCACCATAAGCTACACCCACCCCCTCTCCACTTCCCACCTGTTCTTCCCTTCTCCAGGAAACCGGCCCACCAGTAGCTTCACCCTGGGAGTGGGAGGGCAGCTTTCTGGCCATCACCTCCCTGAACCACCTCAGCCAAACCCAAGCTGCTCCATCAACACCCAACCCAGACCTGCTCCCTGTCCCGCCTGTGCCGAGCTGTCGCCTCCCCCATTGCATCTCTGATGGGGTTACTAGAATTTAACCCCCACCGCACCCCCACCCAGGCATGTCACCCATGTCTGGTGAGGGTGCTGGGACGCCCTGGCCACACCCAGAATGGAGAAGGGCCCTCAGGCAGATTCTGTCTGGAGAACCCACTGGAGTCTGAGCCACAGGCCGAGCCATACATGCACCCTGGTCCTCTTTCCCGCCATCAGCCTCCAGCCAGCCTCTGCTGGAGCCGGCCCTCCCAAATCAACATAACACGGGGTCTTCTCCGAAGTGAAGGCCCTGGCTTCCTGTGGCATCCTGCTCATTCGATAGCTATGATGTGTCTCCTTCCAGAGTGTGGCGTCCGGATTAAATGCGACTCCCAGGGGTCTGAGCGGGGAGGACACACCTCCTTGGCTCCCCAGCAAAGCCTCCAGAACCATGAAAAAGAAATGCTTGGAGTTTAAGCCACCCAGTCTGTGGTATTTTCATTACAGCAGCCTGAACAGACTAAGACAGATATATTCCAGGGAAAGAAAACACAGCTTTATTTCATATAGAAACAAACACATAAGCCCAAGCAGGAAGAACAGCAGGAAATCCAAACTAGCTAAGGAGTATCTCATTTTCTCGAATTCTCCTGCTGTCTGTAGCTCCATCTACCTGAAAAGACAAGACATGGTCCTCCTTCAACTGGAAACTTTCCTATCTCTCCCTCCACCCGCATCCCCCCCGTGGTCCCTAGTGGAACGCTCTGCACACAACGAGGAGATAAGAGCTGTTTGCTCAGTCAACACGTGAAATAAAGTGATTCTGGTATTACCACCATGTTTATACTTGGCTCTTTGAACGGTTCAAAAATTACTCCATTCAAGCACTTCACTCATCCATTCAAATGAGGATTTAGGGAGCATTTCCTCATTAAACCGCACAAGAAAGAGCTAATGAACGCGAGGCAGGGTAGATGTGTCTGTTTTCCCAGGACCAAAGCCCCCACCCGGCTAACGTTCTGCGTCTTTTTAAAAAATATATTTTTATTGATTTCAGAAAGGAAGGGAGGAGAGACAGAAACATCAATGAGAGAGTATCACTGATTGGTTGCCTCCTTCACCCCCCACACTGGGGATTAAGCTCACAACCTGGGCAGGTGCCCTGACTAGGAATCAAACCATGACTTCCTGGTTCATAAGTCGGCACTCAACCACTGAGCCATGCCAGCCGTGTTGAGAGCAGTGGGCTCCTCTGGCAACATTCTGCATCTTGATCTGGCTGCCAGGGAACACATGTGAGCCACCTCGTGGGACTTCTTCACGCTGCACACGGGGGAGCTGGGCGCTGTGTGTAAATTACACTTCGGCTAAACAGGTGCCCAAGAAGCTGCTGCCCGCGTGTCCTCCCTGGCTGATCGTCCCCTCCTTTCCTGATGGGGATGGGAAGGCCGTCACCTGCCCCCAAGCTACATTTTCTCAGAGGGAACCAGCTTTCTCTTCATTCACCTATAAAACCTATTTGGAGAACATGTGCCTCGCATGACAACAGAAACCAGAAGGGCTATGAGGCCAGGGCTGGGATGCGCACAGGCTATCACCTACAAACTTCAGCCTGGAAGGGCTTGGGGCCTGTCGTCCTGTGCACAGCGCCCTGGGGGGGGGGGGGGGGGGACACGTGGAGAGCTGGCTCCATCCCCGAGTCAGGTGGCTGTGACTGCTGGAGCCGTTATCCTGTGAGTCCGGGGCGCAGCCCAGACAGCACACAGAACCTGCCCTCTACCGTCTCTCCCACAGGAGTCTCAGTATTTGGACCATCTGTATGTGCCCAGCCCAGCCTCTCGGTGCCTGCCGCACCCTTCTGCACGTGAGTGTGCAAAGCAAACGTGGTGGCCGAGCAGGGCCGTGGTGAGAGCAGCAGGCTCCTCTGCTCTCTTCCTGATGATACACCCCTATCGGTGGCCTGAGAGCTCACCCACCCCAGCTGGTGCACGTGTGCATGTGTGTTCGTGTGAGCACGCATGTATAAAGCAATGAGCTGACCCCACAGCAGCAATGAACACAAGGGTGGAAGCCAGTGGTGAAAACCTGCTGTATAAAATACAATTTGATTGTACCTGTTGCTTTTAATTTTGAGTTTTGGGTTGTTTTTTTAAGATGATTTTTCAATTTATTTTAGAGAGGAAGGGAGAGGGAGAGAGAGAGGAACATCAATGATGAGAGAGAATCACTGACCAGCTGCTTCCTGCAAGCCCCATGCTCTGGATGGAGGCCACAACCCAGGCATGTGCCCTGACCACTACAACCCAAAAGCTAGCACCAAGATGGAAGGTGACACACCTATGTACGGAATGCCAGGTCGGGCAGATCAGAAGGCTAACACTTTGGGTATGTTGGATTAAACAGAATGTATTAGTCAAACTAATGACACCTGCTTCGTTTCACTGTTATGTGGCTACTAGAGAATTTTAAAGCCTTCCATTTCCACTAGACGGGGATACTAAAGGGACTTCAAGAACGTCCCAGATTTCAAGACAATACAAATTCCTTCCTTGGGGAAGACACAGTGGTGGAGCCTGGTGTTCTGGGCATGAATGGGACATGGAGACCAGTGGGAGAAGGGCAGGAGGCAGACTGGACGGAGGGGAGGCCCAATGGCAGCTGGACCAGCCCCAGGGGGGTCCTGGAGCGTGTGCCCCAGGTGGTACCAGCAGGATGGGCCGTCAGCACTGGGAGGTCAGGGCTGGGAATGAACGGTCCAACTCTCTAATTACTCTGGTGACAGGCCCCGTCCTGAGACTATCTAGGGGCCTTATCAGCTTAAACTCCTGTGTGAGCAAAAGGGGCTCAATATGAATAACAAGTCATTCCTGTCACTCAGGAAATTCCAAGAGTCTTAGGAGCTCTGTGCCAGGAACTGGGGACAAAGAGGAGGAGCTCTGCTTCTCTTATACCCCACTAATGCCATAAGCCATTGATAACTATCAGGTCCACTGATTTAATCCTTGGAGGTCACCCACCAGAAGAGCAAAACGCAGGACCCGTCACCAGGCTCCTCCAGGGGAGCAGAACTGGGGAGGGAAGAGGCAGGACAGGAACTCCTGCTTTTCATCACAAGCCCTTTTGTTCTGTCTCACACGGGGAGACGCACGGGGAAGAAGGCAGGTGGCAGCGCCGGCAGACCTGCAGAGGCGCAGCTGCCAGCCAGGCAGGCCATGGAGTGCCAGCCGCACCGGCGCCGGGAGCCAGGAAGGACCCTCCCGGAGCTTCCGGAGGGAGCACACACCTGGATTTCAGATTTCTGGCCCCAGGACTGTGAGAGAACAAGTTTCTGTTGTTTGAAGCCACCAGTTTGCGGCGCGTTGTTATGGCAGCCACAGGAAATGAACACAGGGCCCTTTGGGCAGGGAATTCCCAGTCCACTCGCGCTGCCCAGACCCACTTCCCGCCTGGACCTGTGTCCAGCCACGGCTTCCTCCCACGGACTCTCCCCAAGGCCCGCTGGGTCCACTGGACAATGGCACGTCCTCTCCTGCAACGCGCAGAACCTCGCTGCTTCATGCCGCAGGTGGTCAGAGGGCGCCGAACGGCACGCTTGTTTACCCAGGCTTATCTCAGGAGGAAAATCAACTGGGAACAATACTGGACTCGAGTGAGTAACAGCAGACATGCACGCAGCAGTACACAGAGGCACAGGCCCTGACACCTGCGACTGATTGTGAAGTGAATCAACAACTAAAACAATCGAGGGCTGGGGAGAGAAGGGACAGAGCAGAGTTAGTGCTAGAATTCAGGTAGTGGTATACGAGCACTCGTCGTAAAATCCTTCCGAGTTTCCTCTGTGTTTGAAAATTCTCAGAATGAAATGTTACAATAAACAGCCCTGGGCAGCACATCCTTGGAAAGTTTGTAAGTATCAGTCACTGGAGGAACTTCCGTATTTATGCTTCCCAATGGCCTGTTA